TTACTCTCCTTGTTGTTATTTGTAGATTCAATGTAATGGTGATATTAATAATAATAATCATCATCATCATAATTTGAAAACCTAAACGAGAAAATAAATCTAATAACAAGTTACAAATATTGCAATCAATGTTGCTTCCTATATGAAAAACATTAATCACATCAACCATTCTAATCAACTTTTAGCAACATTCAATTGTAATTGTACCACTCGCGATCCAGTAATCATTAATTTGCTACAATTTTCAACCAAAAGTCAAATTAACTTTTTTTGCTTTTCTCATCATTTTTGTCAAATTACAACCTTCACTTTACATAACTTCAAAAACATCTTAACAATCTTTAGAAAATCAAGGAATTGAGAACTTTTCGATTATCGTTTTCTTGCAAGAGTAAACATTTTATATAATCGGCTCGGTTCACTATTTTCTTGTAAAACTCAGAAATATCTCAGAAATTTGCATTCGACGAAAGCTCAAATCGAAAAAATCGAAAGAAAAACTTTTCGAATCATTCATTTTCCAAATCATTTGCAGAAACTTAGAACTAAACATTTTTTGCTGAACTGAAGTCGCGAGGTCGAGCTTTTGTAGAATTCGTGAAAAAGTAAATCTGATTTCGCTCTGAATTCTGGGGAATTTTCAATGTTGAACGTTTCGATTGCATTGTTGAGTTTAATAGATTCATAATTTATTTGTTTATTGAAGGGATTCTTGTTACATGAAGCAAATTCAACTGATCACATTATATTTCAATTATCTTTCACGATTGACTTTTTTTGTTCCATCCTTCATCTTAATATAATCATCATTATCTGAGCCGCAATCATGATGATAATATTATTATTATAATCAATTTACACGTTGATGGTAATAAAAATCACGCAAAATATCCATACATTTTTGTTGATTGATTTAATGAATAGTTAATGAAGGGTAAATAACATTTGTAACAAAGTTAAACTGTAACGTTTATATATTGGTAACAAAATAATTTCCTGAGAATCAGCAGACAAGTGAAAAGAAAAAGAAGAAGAAACAAAGTAAGGTAAAAAGAAAAGTTCAAGTGAGAGGAAAAAAATACATGAGAATTGCTAATATTGAGCTTGAAAGTAATATAATAATGGAAATGATAACGAAATAAATGTATCTTCTTGAGACGCAAATTTATTCACTGATTCAACAAATGCTCGTCGAGAGGCAATAAAGTGTTAACCCAGTTTGACGATCAAAATTTTACATTAAAAATTTAACCTGAAAACGGAAGTATATCAAGATATTTGTTTTGCTTTTTTTCGTCAACTTTTACCTTTGCCTGTGAGAAAAGAGGATAAAATGAATTTATCATGTTGAACAGGAAATCCAAAAAGGAAAATGTTTCAAAGTTCGTAATGAGAAAAGTTTTTTTTCATCGCAATTTGATAAACAGAATTTGCATTTGCAACAAATTGATGAAAAATTTATTCCAATATCGAGATATTAAATGATAACCAGCAACTTATCTCATTTCAAATTTAATAACTTTTTTTACAGAATTTCAACTTTTCTATTTAGAGTAGAATTTTGAGAAAAAAATTATAAAAATTGATATTTTTCCCTTGAAATGTTGTTCGATAATTTTCACTCCCAGTCAGTTTTCTATTGAACTAAATGTTTATCAGTAAATGGATAAAGATGATGAGGAACAACAACTGATGATGAGTTTGATGAGAAAGAATGGAAAATAATTTTTGTTGCTTTTCTCTCTTAAAAAGACAAGTTGAATGCTGGGAGGGAAAGGGAAGGATAGGAACGATGAGAGTGAGAAAAGAAAAAATAAGATGAAGAAATAAAATGAGTTGAAAGAATCGCTTTAGCGGAAGAACCCAATTAAGAGATGATGTTTTTTTATACTTTAGCTTGGTAAGATTTTGTTTTTGGAATTATCGATTTTCGATTATCGTTCTCAAGGCAAAAAGTGTGTAACAAAGTGTAAGTGTATCAAAAGAAGGGAAGATGAAGGATGATGAATAAGATGATGGAGGGAGCATTACAATTGGAAATGGATAAAAATGTTTCAAGAAAAAAGTTAAGCAACAATTGAGATTCGAGATGGAAAATTGGGTGAAAAAAAGTTCTTAAAATGATGATAATCCTTAGTTAGGCAAGTATTTATGTTTATAACCAACCAACGTTCATGATGAGAAAATAGTTTTTTGCACTTTTCTCGATTGCTTAATTTCCATTGTGACTCAGATTAGCATTTTGTGCGTTTCAACGATTCCATCATTTCCAGTTGAATCATTTTGAACTCGGTTGATGTCAGGGCGACTTGTCACAAGCTGGGAGTTTTTACTCCCAATGAGCTTCCAGGAAATAGTGTTTTAATAGACTTTAATTGAATTGTTAAAAAGATATTTTGAGAGATTCTAAAAGAAATTCAATGTTTGGAACTTTGATTTGAATTTTTTTTCCCTTTTTCCATACAAGAATTTCTTGGAGCATTGAATTTATGAATTTTTTGAGCAACTATTGGAACACATTTTATTCAATTATCGATTCGTTTTGCTTTTTTTGATGTTGCTTGATATTATAATTGGAATAGTTTGTTGCAGCATTTTTTAGGTTTTGGTTCATGTTTATACTCTGGTTGCAAGCATGATTGAAACTGGTGTATTGGAAAATGTTTTACATTTGATTGAGGAAAGGTTGAGAAATTGGAAAATATTACGAATAATTGAATTTTGTTGGGAAATGTGAGGTGAAAAATGATTATCCTTGTGAGGATGATGAGGGTGATGATGGAACATGAAATTTTGGTAAACATGAATTGAACCGACCTAAACAGTGTTCAAGGTTTAGTCTAGTCAATTGAATTGGAATGAATATGAATGTCATGAAAAGAAGAAGAAGAAAAGTTTCATTTCTTTTTGCTCAGTCAAAGTTAATACTGTTTCAATGTATTCAGTTTCATCTCTTCTGACGATTCTTTTTCTTCTTCTTCTTTCAAATTGCCTTTTGTACCAATCATCACTCATGTTTACTCTGTTCAACTTGTTTTACTTTTTCGTCACAATTCTCATATTAATAGGGAAAAAAAGTTGACGAAAATGAAAACTCGGATTCCATTGAAAGAAATGCTCTCGAAAAGTCACATTCAAAGTTAGCACGAAAAAAACTTTTTGCACTTTTCAAATTGATCTTGCAAATGAATTCAATTGAAATTCAAGTGAACTGCGAAACAAAGAACAAAATGAAAACGCAATTTCAAAGATTCCATGATAACGAAAAGATGAGAAAGTTAATTAAAGTTGAAAATGTTTCGCCACTTTTCAACCTTCATTGTTCAACTCATTCAAATCAGACAAATGTGAAGATGAGCAAAAAAGGTGAAAATTGTGAAGCCAAAAAAAGAAAAAAAATTGCTTCGAAAATAATGAAAGATTGAAATTCGTGAACAATAAAGAGACTTGAAGTTTTCCGATCAAGAACATCTTTAGTATTATCTTGACTGGAGAAAAGGTGAGAAAAGTTGATTCAACATTTTGTAAGGAATACACAAAAAAGATGATCAACCTCTTCATCATTTTCCTCATGTTGTTCAAGTTGCAGATATAAACATGATTTAAAGCCGTAAATAGCGATGGAAAAAAGTGAATCGAAAGACTGTTTCAAGAGAAGAAAAAATGAATCAAAAGTGACAAAAAATGTGGACGAAAAAAATGTGTATAATCATGGAAAGTAATCATAATACGATTTTTGTCAAAACTGATTTAGAGCAACATTTTTTTCCTTCTCATCTCTGAGTTGGTCATTTTTTCACTCATCAGTCAACTGTTGGTTTTTATGTACAAAAATGGTTTATTGTTGTGTCAATGAGTTGCTCTGAGATTTGCTTTTTTCTCAAACTTTTTTTTCCTTTCTTCTTCTTTCAACTTTTTTGCTTCTCTGTTAACCCAAGAGTGATCAATCAACTAAGCTTATTGGTTATTATGATGCTAATTTATGATCATCAGGATGCTGCTATCTTGTTGCTCATCTTGTTTCTTCCAGTTAAAGGTAGATTAATTGGTGAACAAATGAGTCGATCACAAGCCATAATAAACCCTTTCATTAGCGTGTTCAATGATGGTTAAAGTGGAAACTAAATTGACCAAAAGATGAGATTTATCTGAAGTTGATATTCAGTTTTGGAATGAATTCTGTGAGTTTTGTCTTTAGTTGCAATGAGATTTAACATGAAAATGATTTGCAACTTTGTTTCGGGTTTTTCAGCTTTTCGTTTATTTCAGTTTTAGCTTCGTTTTTAAATGAAAAGTGTTTCAATTTATTGGCTCAACTTTGCTTTTGTCAGACTTTGACTTTGAACTTGAATGCCTTTTTCAGACTCATTTGCTTTTAATACCTTTTCCTTTGTTCATTTAATCAATTGAGCCAATTGTTTTCAATTAAACAATTGAATGTGTTTCAATGTTGAAGGAAAAATCTTGGCTAATCTTTGATTGTTTGGAAACCTCTTTGAAGAAGGAGAATCTTCTTTTTTTTGGCCAAATTTCGTTCTATTAATCAATATAAATGTTGCCAAGTTGAAAGTAATGATGAAGATGATGATGATTAAATGATGCACTTTTGTCTTCATCCATCATTGATACTTTAATCGGCTAATTAATTGTTTTATTCCATCAACAATATGGTTGAAGAGTTTATTGAAAGGCAAAAGTGTTTACCTCTTTCAACTTGTTAATTTACCTTTTCAGTGGTAATTTTCATTCCCTTAAACTTGTACATGGCTAATGATTGTTGATGATAATGATAACTTCAATGTATCTTTAACAGTGAAATTTTTGAAATTGATTTGAGTCTCGAGTTTACACCAACTCAAGTCGACACTTGACATTGAAAATACTTTTTATGTCGATCGAAGTTTTCATTAAAAACTTTTCTCGATTGAAAAATAGTTCTTGATTGCTTCGAGTTTTGATGATTTTCAGAGATTAAAGGGAATCTAAATTTAAATGTTTACCTGAATGTTAATGTTGTTAAAGGTCGATATGATTTATGGCTTAATGGGTCTGACATTGGTTTACCCCAGAAGTCATTAAACCAAAGTGAAGTCCAATTATTGATGCCAATTACATCCGGATTACGGACTATTGCTTCAATATCATCATGAACAAAATCACCGGGAATTGAATTGGCATAACAAAGAAAGGTTACGAGAACAAGTAAACCATGAATTTGGATTAAACTGTTTCTACGAGTTGGTTGAGTTGGACACTTTAAAGATGATGAATTTGATGAGAGTAATGATGATGTTTCATCTCCATTGAAAAATGGCTGTAAACATGTTTTCAGTTGACACCAAACTTCACTTACACCTGATTTAAGGAGATTTATTGAAGGGTTGAGTAAAGATTTGCTGGTGCATTGTTGTCTGTTTAATTGGTTAAAGGTTAAAGTTGATCGACTCGATGAACAGGTCAAATTGGGTTTCACTGTTGATCCAGTGTACTTGCGATTACGAATCCAGGTTGCATTAACGCAACAACAATATTTACATTGACGGGAAATGCACATGTTTTTTTATTTGCTCTTCACGTAAACACAAAACTCACCATTTAATTTAGTCAAACATTTGATTCAATTTTTTCGACAATTTTTTCGCTTCTCTTTTCCTTTGCCTTTTCTGATGATTATTTTGGTTGGGCTTGAATAACACACTTGATGCAAGGTGTGGAGGTAAAGAAGGATGAAAATTGCTAATGATAACAGTCAAGTTTACTTGACAATGTTTCAAGTTGAACTGAATCACTTGAATATCACTATGAATTTCCTTTCATTCTGTTTTCTCTCCCATTTTTTGCTCTTCTCACTTTTTTCCTTTCTCTTCCTTTTTCTTTCTTTTGCCACAAAATTGTCTTTCTACATCTTCTTTTTCATTCCTTTCTTTCAACTCCCAGTCTTTTCACTCCCAGTTTCAAGCGACTTCTACTGGTTTAAATATCAACTATGGTTTCTGTCTGTTCCTGTTTAAAATGTAGTTTTTTTGAATATAACTGAACAAGATGAATGTTATTATTTACTAAATTAATCTTTAAGTTCTGATGGTAAAACTGATCGATTGAATTTCGCTGGTTTTTTGAAAACTTTTTTCTTGCTTAAATTTTAATCAATACATTTTATGCTAATTAAATTTAGAGATAACAATCATTGATAAATAAAGTTCAACTTTCACTATTAATTCAAAAAAGTAATTGCCATTTTTCTTGTAACTTCACGCAAAAATCTTCAGCTTTTAAGATAACTTCCAGTTATTTCAGGATTAGCGCATTTTGTAGTAAGAATGGATTTCTGTTGATTTCAACCAAGTTAATGTCATGTAAAGGAAACTTTGTAATTGAGAATGAAATTTTCGTTAATTCGAAGTTGAGGTTTATTCAATGTTCTTGTAAATTGCCCGGATAAGTAAACCTAAAAATGGAATATTATGCTGCTAAAACTCTGAATGGCGATTTAACAAGAGTATTGCAAAACTTAATTACCAGTTTATAGCAAAATCAAGTTCAAGTTTAATCATTAAATTTCTAAAATCATTAAAGTTTTTAGCTGCTAACTATTCACTGTTTCAAGGGTAACATAACAAGTAACAACGTAACAAGTTGATCTTTGCTTTAGAGCTTGCATTTTAGCTTTTGCTTTTTCAAGTACAGTCGAGTCCCTGAAATTGTCGGTTCCTAAAACTGTCCATTCGATATCAGCACCATCTCTTATAAATAAAAAAAACCATAATTATGAATTGAATTGTGTTTTGATTAGTAATTTTTATTGGTGTCTTTTGAATGTCGCGCCTCATTCGGCCTCAAACAACTGATGGACAATTTCAGGGACTCGACTGTATTGAGCCAGTCTTATATGAATCTTTTATGTGGAATTCATTTTCATCAGGTAATTCTTGTTTTATCTTTCTCGTTCCATAAATGAACGACTTGCAATCATGGCCCTCCAGGGTCTCTGAGCAAAACTCACATAAACTTTGTTTGATTGTAGGCTCTAAATTATTCGGAATCTACTGCATCTCATCATTATCTATTTCAACGAAATAATTCACAACTATATTCACAAAAAAGTTCAGACTTGATGAAGAAAGTGATTCCAATGCAAGTTAAGATGATCAAGATGAGATACAGGCTAAAGATAAAGATAAAGGTGTTAATTTTGTATGCAGATTATACCTTTTTTCATTTTACACCTTCATAAATAATTTCGAACGGTTAGTACTACAGACTTCAGACTTGAACCATGAGATCATGCAGTATGCACAACCATTAGTTAAACGATCCAGGTCATTCAAGGGCAATTCTTTATTTGATCTCTAGTTGACATTGAAAGGTCATTTTCTGAAACTGTAAAATTTTTCTAATCGATTGATGTTAGCACCATGTTCATAATCCATACTGGCTAAAGGATATGAGTGATTCCATACCTTTCAGTAAACAATCGCATTTATATAAAAATCATTTATCTTTCTATTAGGAAGGTTTAGAACATGCGGTTTCAGAAAATGACCTTACAATGTCAATAAGAGGTCAAATAAAGAATTGACCTTGAATAACCTTGAGCGTTCGAACTTATAGTTGTGCAATCTGCATGATCTCATGGTTCAATTCTGATGTTTGTAACACTAACGGTTCGTACCTTATGCATGCTCGAAGGCGTAAAATGAAAAAAAATCGGTATATGGCTGCAGACTTCAGTAATCGAACTACAGAATGGTTTCCTAATCTTAAGGTTAGTTCGATTGTAAACGCTGAAGCTGGTTAATTTTCGAATTAAAATACAGAATCTATTTCTCTCTGGATTTATGAAAATCCAAGGATCATTGCTGAAACAGTTATGCAGTTTACAGCTACAGTTTACTTTGATTTATTCATAACTCAGTCGATTTTGGATTTTTATTTTTTTATTGTGGCTTCTTCTTTTTTTTGCCATTGTCTTCTCAAGTTGCTAAAATGAATAACAATAAATTGACTGATGACTGTTTAATATATATTTTCAATCATTTCAATAAATTAGAGAATCTTCTGAATTACTCTCATGGTGAGTAGACTTTATGATATTACAAACGGTAGAACCCGACAACTTGAGTGAATATTTGAAAAAATTAATTTTTTATTTCATTAATTATCAGCATTGCGTCTTTTTGCTTCTATTACTCCCAAAGACGAATCTTATACTGGACCTGTTCTTGAAAAAGTAGAAATTTTAGAAATACGCTACGAACAACAATGTGAACGATGTGATTTTTATGGATTAAACTTTGCAGACCATTGTCCAGCTTTGAAAAGTGCCTATCACTATATCGAAAGAAGACAAAGATTTTTCGATAAAAATGACATCAAAAATCATTTCTTAGAAGATTTAGTCATTGAGTTTGGTAGAATTTCTGCAAAATTTAAATAGAGATTCTGTTTGTTTCGTTTCTGTCTAACATTTCAGGAGGCTATCAAGATTTTTTCAAGACGCATATTGAACAAGTAACCAAATTTGAAACATTTGACTGTCATAGGAGAAGCTGATATCTGATGAAAATATTCCCGAACTTTTGCACTGATTTTCCACTTTTACTTGATCACGATAAAGAACAATAAACAAATAAGTTTATATTTGAATTTTCTCATGACCATGATTATTGCATCTTTGACTATCTAAACCTCATAACTAAAGACCTTGCATTGCTCTGTAACGTCAGTTTATGTTTGATAAATGACCCTATAATGTCAACACGAGGTCAAATAGCGGGTTGACCTTGGATGACCTTGAACGTCCGTACTAATTGTTCTTCAAACTTCGTAATCTCATGGTTCAAGTCTGAGGTGTGTAGCAGCAACCTTTCCTTAGTTATGCCTGCAAACAGGCGTAAAATGAAAAAACGCCCGGTATAAAATCTATTTTTCTGCAGATTTTAGAAGCTGGTAACCAGGAGCTTGAGACTAATATCGTCGCAAATTTAAGAGTAAAAGGACTGATATTGACGCACGAAAATTTGGAAAGTTTGAATAATATCACTTTTAATATTTAAATTAAATATTAATAAATAGTCAAATTTTGTCTAGTCGTGTACTTGCCATTAAAGGTTCCAAAATTTAGTGTTTTTAATTGCTCGGTTGCACTAGCAAATGAAAATACAAAATTTTTGAAAATATTCAATATTGACCTCTGCTCAAACACGAAGGTCACAAACACGAGAATAACAAATTTGAAAGGGGCCAATGTAATGTAATTCTTGAATGTAATTGTGTAGTATTTTAATTTAAAGCGTTTTCTCTTTTTGGAATCATGTTTTGTTTTTGTGGAGCGAAGATTAACTCAAGATTCGGGTTCTGTTTCTAGTTTCTCCGAAAAATCATTTCAAAAACACTGTACTGTCAAACTTTACCAGTCATACCTTAGTCACAAGCAACTTGCGCTTTTCAAATAATCAAGTTACAATGACAAAAGAAAAATTCAATTTAATTTTGTAAATTCATTTGCACAAAGATTTGTTTGATTGATAAAATTAAAATATTTCTTGGTTTTTGGTTTCCTACAGTTCTTATGGTAAGCCTACAGAGAACGATGCTAAGGATGAGCTACCTGCAATGAAAAAAGATAAAAAACGTAATAGATTAGGGACAGAAGAAAGAATTAAGATAATTAAATCTAAGGTCAGTTAATCGAAAGATTCATTTATGCATTAGGAATAAACCGTTAAATTGCTCCGAGTTAATAGGTTGATTGAAAAAGATAAACAATAATGAAGTAATTAAATGTTAGTTTTATTAGCGCAGTTTTGCCTCAGTTAAAAATATTAAAAGTTAATTATGCGAATCATTATAAATCGATAATTTTGCTATTACAATCATTTTTCTTTGTTATTCAAACAGGAATTGTCAACTTTTCAATTGCAAGCATAATTATAACTAATATTGATAAACAGCATGAATATTCAAATTCTTGTCATTCAGAGAACTTGGAAAAAGGTTGATTTGGAAAAGAGAGCAAATTGGAAAGACAAATTTGGTTTGATATTTGATAACAGACAAGTTTCATTGGAAGGGTTGGGAAATAATGTTAAGCAGTTAGGGTTGAAGCCTTAATGCTGATGGATACAAACTTGCGATCACACTAAACCGTTAGACGGTTTTTCAACAATTGAAATTGCTTTAACTAGATAATTCATTTCTTTGGGTGAATTTGGAAAAAAAGAGAGCAATTATGATATTCTGAAAATGAGAGTATCTTGATGATTTACTTTAGATAAATTGTTAATGAGTAAATTTAACTTAGGAGTTAGCTTTGGATTGGCAGCAAAGGGAAGTTATTAAAATAGCGATTGGAATCAATACTTGCCAATTACTCGGAAAACAAAAGACTGTGTCTGTGAACGCTTTTATATTTGCGATTGACAATATCATGTAATGATAAATGATAATAACTAATTATAAATGTTTATGCTTAGTCGCAAGTCCTTAGGACTTCGGTTCCTTAATCCACAAACGTTGAGGAGGAAGGGCGCAAAAATTAAATTCCCTGCATCTCACGAAATGAACCAAAAGGGGTAATAAGCATACTCAATGGTCAGTGCAAATAGAGATTAGGTGTAAATCTAATAAGTGAAGAGTGGACAAGTGAAGGGGAAATGGGAAAGTGACAAGGAAAGGAGGAAAATGGAAAAAAAGAAAAACAAAGAATTTTATTAGAGAAATTCAATGTCTTCAGGTTCGGCTGGACCAACTTCAGACTCTTTTTCATAGTTCGAATCGTGTTGAGCCAACATTCGAAGGAGAGGTCTCAATTTAAGCCACCATTGTTTCTTAGAAATTCTGTGACTGTAATAATTGGAAAAAAGAATTGAATTAGTTGATAGTAAAAAGGCAATTAATTACTTTCAATTTACCTGAAATCAGTTTCAGCTTCTAAATCTAAAATTGGAGTGAATTTGTATTGACGTCGAATCAGTCCTAACAATGCAACTGATTCTCTTGCTGCTTTATTTCCAGTTGTCAGTTGAACAATCAACCAATCAGCTGCTTTGGCTGCCATTTTAGTACCCAAGTTACGGTCAAAAGGAGAAGGTGAACCTCCTTGTTGCATATGACCCAAAATATTCATTCTTGTAGTGAATTTGTCTTTTCCTTCTTCTGAATAAAGTCTGAAAAACAATAAGATTGATTAGTACAGTTAATGAGGCAAAAAATTGAAATAAAAATTGAATACAGAATATTATGTTGCACTAGCTCAGACATAATCACATAAATTGATATTAAATTACTATTGATAAACTTACCGGTAAATGAAGTCTGTTGAATAGTTGGAGTTTGCACTCTCATTTCTGTAAAAAGGAAGAAAGTAAACATTAGAAATCAATTGAATGAAAAACAATAACAAATAACAATTTATAGTCAAGGTAAATCGTCTGCATACCTTAAAATTAAACCTCTTGAAACACCTTCTTCCATTTTTGATTGCATATGATAAACATCTTCCATTAAATTTCTTATTGTGAACTTTTCTTCATAAATATAAGCAGCATCAGCACCACCAGCAAGACCAGCAAGTGTCGCCAGATAACCACAATAACCACCCATTGTTTCAACAATAAAAACTCTTCTTTTGGTTCCTTGAGCTGATTGCCTGATTCGATCACAGATTTCGGTAATTTCATTTACAGCTGTATCAGCTCCCAGTGAAAACTCTGAACCTGGGACATTATTGCTTATAGTGGCTGGAATAACACAGATTGGTATATTTAGTTCGGGAAATTGAGAGCGACTTTTAGCCATTTGAAGAGCTGAGTGGAAGGCCTCGAATCCACCAATGATTAGTAATCCTTGAATACCAAATTCAACAATTTTAGCCACAATTTTACTCATATTATCACCATCACTTGCAAGGGTTCGACGAGTACCAAGAATAGCTCCTCCTTGGGCAACTAATCCAGTCACATCGGACCAATGTATCTCTTTGATATCTCCTGCCATTAGACCATCAATTCCCTCATTGATACCAAGAACTGTGTCTCCACGGTAAATCATATTACGAGTGAATGAGCGAACGGCAGCATTCATACCACAACACGGAGCTCCAATGTGCATAATAGCAACTTTGAAACCATGTTGTTGGAGGTCAGCTTCAGAAAGTTTTGGAGGACGAAGACGAGTCAACATTTTATAAGTTTCAAGATTACGCTCAAAACTGCGTCCACGAAGTTTAACTGCTTGTTCCCATCTTTTATCAGCCATAGCAGTAGCCACAGATTTGGTTTTTTCAACACATGCCATAAGAGGTACACGAACTGCTTGGTTTCCATCAAGGGAAACAACAACAGCTTCAGAGTCAGGTGCAGCATCCATAAGGGCTAAAACGGCTTCAGCTCCCATTCGAGATCCAAGGATACGATCGAAAGCACTAGGGCTGCCTCCTCTCTGTACATGACCCAGTACGGTGATTCTCGTGTCTTGTTTTAAATTATCAACAATAACCTTTTTAACTAACTCTGCAGTAATAGCGTTTCCATCACGATCAATGGCTCCTTCAGCTACCAAGAGAATGTTCAACCGCTGACCCAACTCTCTTTCTTGTTGTAGCTTCCTGCAAAGACGCTCAGGCCAATTTTTTTCGGGTGGCCATTCAGGAATGAATACATAATCTGCTTCACTGGCTAAAGCAGCAACTAGAGCAAGATAACCACAATGTCGACCCATAACTTCGAGAATGAAGGTACGTTGGTGACTGCAAACATAAAGGAAAAGAAAAATTAATAAAATCAAGTAAATTCAAACTTTTTGTATTTACTAACCTGGATGCGGTAGTAACAATGGCATCAATTGATTCTAAAATTCTGTGAAGAGCTGAATCAGTACCAATGGTCATATCAGTACCACAAAAATCATTATCTATTGAGCCAACCATTCCAACAACATTAAGATGGCTACATTTGGTTTTCTGTTCTTCAGTTATTTTTCCTGTAAGGTGATACACAAAATAAAAGGTTAAAATAATAGTTTAGTGTGAAGATATAAGTATAAAAATTAATTCAATTACATGGGAAAATTATATTCAAGAGGCAGTGATTTATAAATAGTCTATTGTTTCAAGATTAGAAGTCATGAGAATGAACATTTTGGTAAATCATACCCTTTCCATTAAATGTTTCTGTGCATCAACTTGCATTAAATACTGACGCCAATTATTTTGGCTAGAGCTATCATAAAATAGCAAAAACTAATTTTGATAAATAATTGATCAATGACAAAACTGTATGGTGATTTCATTAAACAGTAGACCTGAATCAAACTAAAAATGAGAATATGAATATTGATAGAAAAACCGATTTCCTGCATTAAATCTAACAATGTAATACAATAGAAATAAAAAGAGGGTCGAATAATTGAACATCAAAAGATTGATTTTTCGCTAAATGGTAATAACAATATAAATATAACCAATAATCAAAATATAAAAGATTGATCTATGAACACAGGAAAAATTCATGTTCAATCTGGAAAAATATGACGTTAAGGGAATTAACCGTGGAGAAAAGTGAGAAATAGAAATAATGTACCTTGAGAAAAAAGTTCTTCAACAAGAGAACCCCATTCTTGTCGGAAGAGGTTGGCACCAGTCAATGAACCGTCACCACCGATAACAACCAAATTGTTGATTCCATGTTGAATTAAATTGTTGGCTGCTTTAAGCCTTCCGTCTCTTTCACGAAACTCTGCACAACGAGCACTTCCAATAACTGTACCTCCTTTATGAATAATACCAGAGACAGATATCTAGAAAGAAAAGAAAGTGAAAATTAGAAGTTGAAATAAATGAGTGACAATTTGAAAATATTCATCACTTACCCACGAAGCTTCAACGATGTATTCACCTCCATCGACCATTCCTTGGTAACCTTCCTTGATGAAATAAGCTTTACAGCCAAGGTAGAGTGCTGTTCGTACTACAGCTCTAACAGCAGAATTCATACCTTGACTGTCACCACCGCTGGTGAAAACAGCGATGGTTTTTTTGGCACCGACACTACGATTTGGTGGACACATTCCTTCTTTACTAACGGGTCCAAATTCTTCGGTGGTTGATTGAGTTCTAAGTCTGTAAAGATGAGCATGGGGATCATGACGATAGTCCATCATAGTTGATTGAATTTGGCAAAGATGTTGAGATGAATGTGGTAAATTGAAAATTGAAAAATGTCAATTTGTTGTTTTTAAGGAAGAATTTAGAAGAGAAAGATTATAAGATTAAAAAGGATCAAGTGATGAGTCAAAATAAGATAAGACAATAGCTAATTGTTTACAAAACTAGAAATTGAGAGACACAAATAAGTATTTCCTAAATAACAATTACAACGTTAATAAATAAATTACAATTAACAGGATAGTAGTTGGAAGTATAATTTACAGAAAATTAATGGAGAAATGAAATAGAGATATGAATGATAGACGGTGGGTAAAATGAAAATGAGCAATAGAGAAAGGACAAGAAATAAAGTACACAAAGTTGAAGAATGAAATGATGTTAATAAACTAAATCGGTAGGTTTTAGGAGGCAATTTAGTAATTGTTTTGACAAATCACTTAATTGAAATAAATTTGGTATCTTGTTTCGATTTTGAACACAATTTGTTGTTTGTTGAGCTGTAGAGGAGAACTAGTTTCATGGCATGAGTATCAATGATGCAGTAGATGTTAATGATGACGATGGTGATTATAAAGACAAAGATGAGTGGTATTCACGAGCAAGCAATGTAGTAAACTCGCCATCAGCCTTTGGTATTATTGTTATCAGTAGCAGCAGCGGTGGTGTTTTGTAGTAAAGATGAGTAGTAGACTAAATTTATTAGATTAACACTACTAATGGGAGGTTGAGATTATCACCAACGCAAATCAGGCAAGCAATACATTCATCATTGAAATTCAACAGTGTTGATGGTTGAATTAGCGTCAAACAGAGAAAGCATTTTGAAAGCAAATGGATAGCACAAGTATGAGGTAAAGTAAATCATAGACAAGAGAGAGAAAAGAGAGAAGAAATTACATGATTAGTTGTGAATAGGCAAATTTAGAGAAACACAAATGTCTGTGTTAAGAGAAAGGTATCACTTTGAAGAGTGTTTCATGATAGAACTGGAATAGGATATTTCATAGGATGGTGTCAATGCTAATAAAGTTAGAATAGTCATTAAATAAAATCTAAATAGATAAATATTAGATAATAGAGACAAGGATGATGAAATAAATGGTATCAAGAGTTGATGGCCAAGGTCACAGAGGAACATGAATTAGATGGTGAAGATGTAGAATAGGATACCGATTGTATTGTTATTTACTTACATGAATAATGAGACTGCTGATGGTGTTAATTGTTATTAATTTAAATCGCAAGGGTAAAACAAGAGTAAACACTAGATTATGAAAGTGAAATCAAAGCAAGAGGCGAAAAGAGCTTACAAGGACAGTTGCAAATTGCAATGATATTTCTATGGTAACCATAGACAGAGAAAGTTACGGTTACATTGACTTTTGTTTTGTTTTCTAAATTGTTTTCTTATGTCAGTTGATTGAAATGTTAACCTGTTTTAAGCTTTATCAACACTTTGCCAAATAACAATAAGAAAATCAATTCATCCAAACCAAGTCATTTGATATAAACTAACCAAAATTAGCTTATAATCAATGTCTGTTTACTTTCTGGTTTTTCACTCATAATCCTGGTTTTTCTATATTAATCTGGTTGAAGTCTCAAGAAGAATAGTTATTCAACACTTCCATATCATGATGTCATGATCTATTAAAGATGTTAAATATAGTGATAGATACACGTGTTAATCTATAATCCAAGGATAAGATTAATTATGAAATTGTTTTTCTAATCATCTTGATATTGGTCAAACTTGATTTATTTCAAGCGGTGGAGCCATCAATAATGACAACTCTTCAGGATCTCTTTTTTCAATAAACTACAGAATGGTGAATTGTTCAGATTCTATCAAGTCTGATTGAAATATCACAATAAAGTGAATGTGAAACATTAACATTTGCATTTAAAGATCAGATTTAAATGCCATAGAATGCCATTTTCATTTTCTTGGTCTATTGAGTTAGACTTACTCTTATCATAGAGTAAAATCTTGATTATTTCATATCTCACCTTTACCGAAAAAACTATATTGGTACAATTAGCTTTTGTCAATCTAAGGAAGGGCAATTACATGATAAGAAAACAGAACGATATTTACTCTTCGCGAAGAAATAACAAAGAGGGTGTCAAGCTCGTAGTTGATCTAAAGGATTGAACGTAAATTGTGAAAATACAATCACAACTTGAGTAATTTTTTAACATACTGTTTTGATTGTAGTTTTTTCCGTGATGAGCGATTACTTTTAGCCTTATCTTTTCCTTCCAATGAACCTGACTTAGAGTGAGTAATACCATCTTTGGAACCTGTGGATGTCTTTGATTTGGTTCGCTTACTGTTAGTCTTTTTTCTACTTCGCTTCACTTCTGGTTCTTTATTTTCCTGAATGTTATCCATGATTAACAAAGCTTGAAACACTATGTATAAAATAGGCACAATTTAACTAATACTTTGGTTGATTTGCTTATTTCAATATTCTTAGATGGTTTAAAAGCAAGAAGATAAAACACAAGATACGAAAGAGAGTCGCACCAGGAGTCTAAATGTAGATCTTGAATCAAAAGTGTCTGATCACGAAGGTGGTTTAACATTACAAGTTAATTTTTAATCGAATTTTGATTTTAATTTGGACAGAGTATCATTCTGAGATCATCATTGTTGTCGTCGCATTCGCCTTTCCATTTTCTTTTGTTTCTTTTCATTTACTGGTCCTTCTTCAGGTGCAGGAGCAAATATCCATGGACCAAGAAGGTTAACCCAGAGCAAATAAAATCCATATCCTGGAGCCTGAGAGAAAGGTAAAAGAAATTTAAATTCAATTAAATTGTTAGAATATGGTTTGGTTGCGATTTAACTTACAGAAAGCCACAATAGATAGAAATAATTGGAAATTAGTGACAATAGTTGAACTATAGCAGTTAATATAATGATGTCTTTAGCATATCTGTTGGGAAAACAAAATAAAAAGGCGATCAGTTTTGGTATTCGAATAATTTTTACAAATTTTCATTACTCAGCCATTCCAGACTCTAAGTTAAGGTCGAGGCCGCCATCTATTAATGATCCAGTCTCTGAGTATGAGGGTTGAGCCATGAATTTCATAAAACCAATGGCACTGATGTAAATTATAATTGATGAAAAAGTAAAAAACTAAAGGAAAACAAGAGAGAAAAATATTATTAAATTTGCTTTAGCGATGCTCCTTTTTCCTTATTCCTATTTACCATATATCTAAACGTAAATTGTTCAAAGAAGAAAAACCATGTGACAAGAAGATAGATCGCCTTTGATGATGAAAAGAAAAATGGTAAAAATTAATAATAGTGTGGAAAAATAAATTGCATGATAAACACATGTTTACATGTGTAATACTCACTAATACAGATGAAGAAATTGCTATGTAATAATTGATTGTACTTTTGTTATCCTCCAAGATTTGTTTTTGGCCTTTAGTTGCTGATTTCTGTAATACAGTCCAGTGAGGGAAAAAATCAAACGCAAATGGACACAATTAGATAAATAAATTGAGAATAGTGAATTGGTAAATAATGGCAACTTCACAAATTACTTACCGCCATGGTGAATTACAGAGAAACAATTGACAAAAACAAAATATTGATTATAAAAGCAGATGATGGAATGATGTAAATACAATTTAATTCAAAATATAAATAATAAAATTATGTGAAAAAAATGAATTGAAAAATGATTTAACATGAAAGTGTTCACGTCACTCTTTAAGTTAAACAGTAAGAGTAGGCTGTCAGCAGTGAGAATCAGCTGATCAGCTCATATGGTGAGCACAAGAAAACCTTTCAATTTCAAGTATTCAATTTTATTATTAAACGACATTCATTTGGTTGATTGAGAAAGGTAAACGATAATTTTATAATTAAATGTTAGTTTTATCAACATAGTTTTGCCTCATTAAATTCACTGCATCTCACGGAATGAACCATACGAAGTAATAAGCATACTTGATGGTTAATGGAAATAGCGATTCTCTTGCTGCTGTATTTCCGATTGTATTTGGTACATTTTCTTTGGTACCAAGAACTGTGTCTCCACAGTAATTCATAATAAAAGTGAAAGAGGGAACTACCCGGAAGGCTCGCGAAAACTTCCACTGAATTTCCCTTCAAGTTTTGATTCAAATGCCGAAAACAAGTTTCCACCAGACACCGATCACATGTAATATTTCTAGTCAACAACCGTCTAGCAATATCTCTTATATTTAACAACAACAATTGAATATTCGAGATGCTCCATGATTTAAAGTGAATACGACATTTAGGGTGAAAAATATTTTGTTATTCAAAATACAAAACAGTGATAAAATTACTAAAAAACAGTTTTGGGTTAGATTTTATCATAATGATAAATATTAAGCTCTTTGGACTTCAAGATTGTTTGAACATTGTTTCGTGTAACTTCAAAGATATATTCTTGATCCTTCTCTGGTTCAAAGAAATTTTATCTGGCTTTACCATATGAACTTTTACAAAGAAGGCTTTTTTGATAATGTGAAATAGATGAACGAGGAAATACCAACAAGCTAAACCATCACTGATCATCTTAACAAGTCGCCCTTTCTCGTCATGTGTTAAATTCCTTGACTGGTCAGAAGCCAAATAATCAAGTTCCTCGAATGATGTTGAATCACAAACCATTATCTGTTCCTTAGTGTCTGTGGTTGATTGAGTTAATGTTGAGCAAATTTTTGATGAAGGAACCGTTGATTTGATGATTTTTTTACCATTTCTAAAATCACTTAAAACAGCCACAGATCCAACCATTACTCTATAAATCACATGTAAACTAGAGTTTAGAGTTGAAATAACTTCATCTAGTTTGAACATCATGACCAATTGTTGGAATGTTCTTTGTCCAAAAAGAGATGAACCAGAATACCAGAATACCAGAACAGTTCACTAACCGATTACATAAAACATAATAACTGGCTTTTTTAAACAACAATTAAGCTTAAAATGGTGATGGTTTGAAATGATTTGACTCACAAAGAAATAATGGAATCAGACGATTTTTGTCTCTACTTTAAACTTTACACCGTAAGATGAATGTGATTGGATAGTTGCTTTCACTGACAATATGAATCACAGTTTACCCGTAAAAAGAAACAGCTCAAGAGACAATAGAGAGTCAATTCCTTCGGTTTATTTTGTCTGGGAAAATGAAAGAGTTACATTAAATAATGAATTTTTGGTCTGCTCTGACTAATGAAATGAAAACTAGTTTACCTTGGATGAAAAATGTAATCCCACCTTATTTTTGTCAGTTTTAACATCACCATTTAGTACTAATTAATGTTTATTTTATCTTCCTTTGAACCCGATGGACGAGTTTCAATTCTGGTTTGAGATTTACCGACGTCAAAGAAAAACAATTTTACCTTGATGTAACCATTACATAAAAATAATTTCACATTAATTTTATTCGATTTATTTTTGGAAAGTAAATTAACGAGACCGGCTTTTTTCCATCACTTTTTCCCATATTGTCCATCAACCAAATCTAAACCATTCACTATTCATCACCTTTATATCTATCATATCCGAAAAGCGGTGAACGATTTGGTGGATTTGGGTGATGGAAAATCTTATGAAAAAATCGATTGAAAAAGTCGGTCCACATTAAATTTCAATTCTAGTGGTAAAATTAGTTTTGCTTAGTCGATAGTTAGCAATTAAACTTGTTTTGCTCGCTATTCGGCTAGATTTGACCATAGTCAACCTAAATCCACTTTACTGCCTTTTTAGTCAGTTATATTCATTGAATTTACCCAATTTTTAAACTTCAACTAATCTGTCAATCTGAGTAACTGAGATTCAGCTATTTTATCTTCACTTACTGAAATTACATCCATTTTCTAGAAATAGAAACAATTGAATAACAAAAACACTTGGATTTTAAAAAACAACATTTATTGATCAGGTTTGTTTAGTAGTGAAAATAGTCTTTTTGTCTATTTCAACAGTAGAAAAATCAAAGTGTGAGTTTAAATGTCATTTTGATGTTCAAGTTCAATGATCTATGACATTTTAATTTTTTCATTTGTTGTATTCAGTTTAATTTATTTTTGTTTGTGTCGTGTATAAATCATCATGTCTGAACAACAGGTTTGGCTTATTGTTATCGATGGCTGGGGCATTTCAGATGAAGTCAAGGGAAATGCTATCCTTGCTGCTGATACTCCAATAATGGATGGATTGGCTAAAAATGATGGTCAATATCTCACATTAGATGCTTCTGGATTATCAGTTGGCTTACCGGATGGTCTAATGGGTAACTCAGAAGTTGGACACTTGAATATTGGCCCTGGGCGAGTTATGTACTAAGACTGTTTATCTGTTTTCGTTTAAGCGGTTTGAATGGCGAATTGATAAGCTTGATACAGATGGCAGCACACAAATGCGGGAATACACCATTTTCCCGGTTTATTTTGGGACTTCAAATTGAACTCATTTGTTTACGTCCATGATGAAAGTTTCATTGTGACTTTAGTTCATTACCGATCGTGTGGAGTCATTTATTTAATCATGGAAAAAACAAGATCAAATTCTCATATTATTTTAAACTGTTCCTCAAATTTTCCATCTCTCCGAATTGAAGACCCAAAAAAATGTAAGATTTTCTCATTTCCATCTTTTTCTCCTCATAGTTTATATTTTTTAACCTTTATCTCTCTTGTCACTTTTAGCATCTCCTGAATGTGAAAATAACCAATTCCCTCAATATTTCCTAAGATCCATTCCGGATTTGAAGAGACATTTCAGCCTCCAGGAGAAAATTGGGGAAGGTACTTTCAGCAAAGTGTTCAAGTCAAAATTATTGAAAAATCCAACAAAAGAATTCGCTTTGAAATGTATCGTACCAACTATGAAATGGGATCGAGTGGCAAATGAAATTCGTTATTTAAGAGATCTTGGTGGGGACTCGAATATCATCGGTGTCAAGACCTGTTTCTTTGGTAGTGGATTATGCGTCATTGTCATGCCATATTTTCCCCACACTAGATTCATTGATTTTCTTAAAGATGCCAATAGTTTTGAAATCCGAAACTACATGAAAAATCTTTTCATAGCCTTAGAGGCAGTTCATAAACATGGCATCATTCACCGTGATATTAAACCCAGCAATTTTCTATTCAACCGAAAATCGATGACATTTGGACTCATTGACTTTGGTCTCGCCGAAGACGAGGTAGTTCTCCGTAAACACGCCTTAAGTGCTCGAGAAAATATCCAGTTTGTTTCTCCAGCCGCTACATCTAGATCAGCTATTAGAGAGCTTGTTGCAACCAAATCAAACCTGGCTCTTTTTGCCAAAGAGGGAAATAAAAATCCAGTTTTAATAAAAAAGCGTACCTACGATGAAATGGCCACAAGGCCTTCTAATACTACCCCAACGAAAAAGGCCAAATACAATGGAAATTTCAGCACTCCAGTAAAAGCTGAAAATCCTTCAGTAATTCCAGAAACTCCACCAAAAAATAATGTAGATAGGAACGAAGCTGAAGTTAAACCACGAAAACTCATATTAAAACCTTCATCTATTTCTAATCCTTGTGCTTGCTATGGAAAAGAGCAAATCTGTAATAATTGTCTGCGACGTTTTGATCTTGCTGCACCCAGAGCTGGAACAAGAGGTTTTCGAGCTCCAGAAGTTTTATTAAAGTATTTACAACAGACAACTGCTATTGATGTCTGGTCTGCTGGTGTTATTATGGCCTGTTTATTGTCCAGGAGATATCCATTTTTCAGCACTTTTACCGATGATTTGACTTCTCTTGGTCAAATGATTACCGTTTTAGGAAGTAAAAGATTTATGAAAGCGGCAAAAGAATTAAATCAATCAATTATTATGAACCCAAAGAAAATTCCTCCGCTCGATTTGAAAAAACTATGTGAAAATCTTAGAGGCAATAATTCACTTGAAATAGACGACAGTGCCTACGATTTGCTCAATCGTCTTCTAGAACCCAACCCAAGAAAGCGGTTAACAGCTTATGAAGCACTTAAACATCCATTCATTGATTGCTAAATTTTTAAATAATAAAATGAGAAATCTATTGTAATCATTTTAAAATCTTAATCAAATTTATTCCATATATTAGGTGAATTCTATCAGTATTGATTGTTTTCCAGAACGAAACTATGATCTAAACGGTCAAAATCATTATTTTTCATCCCAACTAAAAGATGCCACCACTGGCTCAGAAAACGCGTAAACAAGTTTTTCGGGTTGTCAATCAAATTAAAGTTAATTGTGAATAAATAATTGATTACAATGTGTATTTGACAGTCAATATTATAATTTGCTCAGTCAAAGCTTCATCTCGAGAAATCGAAAAAACTATTGAATAAAAGTGATTTTGTACCAACATATACAAGAAAGGAGAAGCAAGGAAAAAGGAGGATGAAAATGATAATGATGATGGGAAGGCGGGAGATGATGATAAAGTCTCATTTTGCTCTTGCAACCAAGTCTATACCTTGGAGTGTAACTTGGTTGAACAAACTGTTAGAGTGACTTTGGAATTGAAATGTTTTTCTAAAAAGTATTTTCTCAACATTGTCTCATCTTTCCTCTACAGATTTACCTTTACATTTGTGTTTATCTCATCTTTCTGTGAACTTTTAAAATTGATTCCTATCCATTACTATCAATAAACCACTAACCTGATTATTCATCTTAACCCATGAAATTTCAACGATATGTAAACATCATTGAGTTACATTACAACATTTTACCGAGTTGTTAATGTTGCCGTTGGCTTGGTCTGTTGACATTACCAACAGAGTCATGTGTTGCCAGTGAAAAACGGATTACAATTGAAATCAATTTACAGTCGTGATTACAATCAACAAGTTACATCAGTTTGTGTTTAAATTGTGTTCCCAGACCAGTCTTGTTAATTCAAATCAACTATTGAATTAACTATTGAAAGACTTAGTGATTTTGTGTAATTGATTTGTGTGTTCATCTTTGTGTGTGTTTAACGTCTATTGAATATGAAACCTGGTAAAGGATTTTCTGGTAAATCAAATTCACCAGGTCGAGATAAAGGTTCAACCCAATCATCTCAACCGTTAATGTCATCAATTCAACAATCATCTTCACAGTCCCCAGAATCAGCAACATCTCAAGGGAAATCAGCTAAAAATCGAGATTCTTCTAAACCAATTTCTACCTTACAAAATATTAACATTGATCAAAATATTTCTCACCCTTGTCCACCCTCTTCACATCATCAACACCAACGGCGACTCAGTTCATTGGATGGACGCCACGAGGCACCCACAATGACCGGAGCTCTTGATTCTTCCGGTTGGCCCTCAATTAAACCAAAAAGGAAAGGATTATCAATTATGTTTAATGCTTCCAAATCAACCATTTTCTTATCTTTTTTGTGTCTTATGGCTTTTACCCTATCAACATTAAGCCTTGTCCGTAATATACAATTAGAGAAGCGATTACTATCATTGGAAGCTTTGTGTGCTGATTATAAAGTTAAATTAAACAATCAATATTATGACCAACCCAATTCGCTATCATTGCTCCAACAATCGCCCTCATCAACATTCCCATCTCAATTGGATCATCATTCATCGTCGGTAAATGAACCCGATGATTTCAATGAATCAGCTTTAACTAATGAAAATGTTAACCTAAAAGGATTACAACCTAACCAACAATTAATCAATTCAAGTTTTGTGCCCATAACTGTTCTTGAAAATATTGTTAAACAGGTAAATGAAGGAAACTTTATCAATCCAAAGCAAGTTACAACAAGATTCAATCAAAAAAAACCTTTTCAATATCAATTCCTAAGCTTCAAATTTGCCAAGTAACTTGAGCAAAATTTTTACCTTTTCAAGATGAGTAACTAAGGATCATGTTTCACCATTAAATCATTACTTGACAATCACAGAATACAAGCTTCTGATCAATGTTAACTTCAGTCTATTTATACATGTACCATACTTTGAGACATTTTTTCTTGAAATTTCATTCCAAAAAGATTGAAGATTTGAATCAAAATTTGCCATCTTCAAAATTCCAGAGCAAAATCTGTTTCAAATCAACCCAAAGTCTATCAATGTCACTGATATTCAGAAGCCACCAATTTGCTCATTTCAACTCATTAACTCCAAGCATATTGAAACTCAAAATATTTCAAGTCAATCTATTTGATTAGGACTTGGAAAATGATTATCAATGTTAACAGTTTTAAAAAGAAGTGAAATTGAACCTTAGGCAGTCTAAGGTAATGATGATTCCTTGAAAAAAGACAATATTTACATTTTAATTTGCATTTTCAAGTTAAATTGAATTAAGTCTCAATGTTAATCAAGATCAGTCGACTCATGAAGAAGCTCATTTTAACAATGAAATGTCTTTTCAATTTTTGTTGCCATTGACTAACAGTTGGTATCATTTGTTACCAATCCTAATATCGAAACGAACCTTGATTAAATGATACCTAAAATTGATTTACAATTTGTTCAAAAGGAACCATTTGAATGTTGATTGAAAATAATAGGAAATGTAAGTTGAATGAATGAACCCAAAAAATGACGAAAACTTTGAAACACGAACACAAAATATACAGATTTAATGATAGTAAATAAAAGGACAATAATGATTGAGATGATGATATACAAGTTACAATAATATATTAATACAATGGTAAATGTATAATATTTTTCATCTCCAAAATTTTTTCCTTTTCTCCTCTTCTTCTTCTTCTCTATTCCTCTCACAATGAGATTGATAATAATAGTGAAATAACAGGGAATGTTGATTAGATGAAAATGTTGACGATGATTATGATGATGTTGATAACAATAATAATGGAAGAAAGTTTAAGTTGATTGAAAAAAAAACTAGTAAAATGAAATGGCAACAAAACTCTTGTATTACCTTTACCCAAACGCCTTGGTAAAAGGCTATTCAGATGTAATGCAAAAAGTTAAACACAATGAAAACCAAGTTTAACCCAAAACCCAATTGAATTGTAACATACAATAGAGACAATTTTACCACCCAAAGAGCCAGGTAAAAATGGGAGAAGAAGAAGAAAAAAGATGAGAAAAGTTTACCTTTCAAAAAATATCAAAGTTATTATTGAAAAAGATCTGAAGACATGGAGAAAAGTTAACAATAATTGTAAAGAGTTGCTTGGAGTTGACTCTTGCTTTTTCATTTTCCCATCATTTACTGATAATGTTACAATTGCTAAATGATTACAGATTAATAACCTTTAAATTGTTGCTCTGTAAATCCATAAACGTTTACAGTTAACACAATTGATGATCATTTCGAGTTGAATTCAACTGCAGATGAAAATTACCAAAAATATTGAGTTAATGTGAGATTCTGGTAATTTTTCAATTCCATTGACTAATTGTTTTCATTTGATTTTTTCTTTCAGCCTTGCTTTGATTTTTGTTAATTATAAGTGAAATTGTTTGATGATAATTTATGGAGTGATTAAAGAAACCATTTTTATCTGATTTACCAAAAAATTGCTACCCAAAAGCCTACTGACCTTTCAATGGTCACAAGTAAAAAATAAGCTCATTTAATCAGCTTATGCTTTTCATGTTGAAAATTATGCTCATTTCTCTTTTTTCTTTCGGAAAAAGTTCTTTTTTTGCTCAATTCCTTGGCATTTTGTTGTATTTTACAGTTGAATTGCTTTTCCAATTGAAAGGGATTATTGATACTTTGAAATGGTTTAAGACGCTTTAAGACACTTCATGCAGGTTCTTACCTTGATCAGCATTTTTTTGCTCAACTTCATGACTTTTTACTTGAACATTTTGTTCACAAAGAGAGTTTGACTCTAATCATTTCAAAATGCATCCCATGATCAACTCATGATAATGTCTTTTATTGAATCTTTAAATTCACCTTCTCTTATAATGCTTCAATGAAAGCAATGAAATGGTTTATGATTAAAGATTCAAATTCAAGGTTTGGTCATTTTATTTCTATGAACATCAACAAAATGGGAAACCTCAATCTGGACTTGAATCATTGACCTTTACTCGATTTACAATGTTGTACCTTGCTGTTGTCACAATGAATTGTTCAATTTTTAATCATTTTTCTCTTTTCTCTAGAAACTCAATCGACATCTAAGATCACTCTCATCGCGGATAAAACGTCAAACAACATCTGATTGTAAATGTCCAGCGGGTAAGTAACCTAACATTTTAATTCACTTTTCATTGTTGCTCTCGTTGCTTTTATGCTTAACAGTTTTTTTAAAACATCAATTTATCCTCTCATCAATACAAGTGTTTCCCTTGTAAATGGTTAACAAAACAAATTACCATTCAACTCAACCAATTGACTCAATCAGCAATCATTAAATTTGATTCAATTAGGTTTCTTCCTCTTCTTCCTCTCCAATTAATCATGTTCAGTTAAAGCTTACGACCTTCTTCATGACTTCGGTTTTACATTTACTTTTAACCAATTCAATTTTTTGTCTTCTCTCCCTGTTGACTTCAACAATTAACGCTCTCTTCCTTTTAATACACTTTGTATTGATACTAAATAAGTGGCTATGAGTTTATGCTGTTATTATTAGTCTCTGTTAACATGTCAAGTTATTAAATTTTAATGCCACTGATTGGCTTTATTCACTTGATTATGGCAGCAAAAATATCAAATGATGAAAAATTAATTGCCACAAAAAGCAAATTTTGTCTCTGATTGACTTTTGCCCATTTCATTGTTTTGTATCACATTTTTACTGCCACTGGTTTTGTCTGCAAATTATCATGTTATTGTCACAATTGTAAGCTTTAATTGTGTTAAATTGTGTTAACAAATGTTAATTTACTTCAATTGGGTTGAACAATTGAAATCTTGCAAATTGACATGCTTTTGGGTAGTAATTAAAAGATGGTCCCTTAAAGTGCAACATGCTGATTGGTGATTTGCTTTAATAAATTGGAGGGAAAATTTGTCTCGCTTTTGCTACTTGTTATTTGATTGCGGTTTAATCAGACGATGTTTCTTCTGGTTATTAGTTTTATTGATTATTATACCAGTTTAATATGTTAAGACTTTATTTATCATCATGTTCTCTAATTGTTATTGATGTTGTTAATATTCTGTTGACATTTTCAACAATTGACATTGCTAATATGGTTGGTTAACTTTGTGTCAGTGGATAATCAAATGGATCTCTCTCTTGGTTTCTCTGGTTTCTTTATGTGAAGGCTTTTACTTTAACCTTACCATTTGCTGGTTAATTAGCTTTCAGTTGATGTAAGATGTGGTTTACATCAATTAATGGTCCTTCAAAACTGATGCCTGTTTTTACTGTTAAATTTTCCATTGTCAACTTATTGGTGGAAACGATCTTTTTTTGGATAAAATTAAAGGGATAAACAGGTTTACGGTTCATCCCATCATCATTGCCAATATGTTACAATCATTAGTCTTGCTGAAGCCAATGCTGATTGACACAAATTTCTAATGGTATCCTCTGCTGTTGACTGATGATCTATTGATACCAGAAATCTATCCCTTACCAGTCATGGATTCATGTTGCTCTTCATTCTTGTTTTTTTATTCTGTTTGATGTCCTGACCATAATCGTGATGGCTTCAACTAGATGATTAGTTTTCATTGAAGTGTTGACAGAAGAGGATAAAGGTGCATCAATGGTGGAAGAAAATATGTAAGCAAAAAAGGTGGTGAAAACTATTATGAAAGGTATACATGGTGATGAAAATGATGCCTAGCCGGATAATGAAATAGCATTTCTGGTGATAACAACACTTTCTACATTTATTCATCAGTTGATCATTATAATCACCAGTATTTACGTTTATGGCGCAAAATAATTCACAAATGACAAGGTGATATCCAATGATTAAAACGTGGGATAAATGGAAATTTCTGGCCACAAATCTGGTCTGTTTAATTTTACTGTTTCCAGTAGACTGATAAAAACAATCAATCAATTATTAATATCGTGGATTGTGTTTATCGCAAGATGTTGAAAACGTTTCCATGTTCATGAAAAATAACAATTGCTGATTTGAAATCATTTCTGGCTGATGATTTTTTTATCCTAAATTTGGCTCAATAGACTTTCACCTTCACCCTTCATCTTTATTCAATTTGTTGACTTGGTTTACAGTAAATTGTTAGCCTCACAATCGACTTTTATTTTTGTATTTCCATTGAATAATTTGGTATTCAATTGGAACCAAAACTGGCTTTTGGATTGATGTTTATTTTCAACAAGGTCCATTAAGCTCATTGCTATTGATTCAAATTATAGAGAGATGAGAAGGTTCAGTTTCTTATTTAATTGAGTTTCAATGAGGTAAGAAACATGGAATTATAATTTACCCATGATGATGAACATTATCACTATCTTCATGACCTAATGATCTTTTTATTCTCTTATTTTAGCCTGATTACAAGATTTTTATCCTCGTCTTACAAGAAAAGGAAATCAAAATAGTCAAACAAGAGTAAAGTGAAACTAATCATTTCCTTATATTATATATCGGAGATGCAATGAAGATGCTGATGCTGATGATTCCAATAGATGGTTACTAATAGATGTTGAATGTTATTACCTTTAATTGGCTGTATAAACGCATCTCTTTTCATCTGGTTGATCATTTTTCACCAAAAGATAATAGTTCTGCCCATTTTGCATCTTCTCTCATTAACTGGCAAAAACATTGAGACTTCATTAAACAATAATAATCCAACGGAATACAGGAACACAAGAAAATGAATCAACATTATCCGTTCTAATAATAGAACCAATATTGGACATGGAGCATGAACTTTAGCCTTATTGTCAGCAAAAGGCAGATAATCATTGATAATTGGTGATTATCAATTTGAGACTATTGTTAAACGATGTCCATAACCAAGTTTATTAAATCCTTTCAAGATGAACTGCAAAGCAAAGCGAAACAATCGTCACCATAACAATCAAAGCAATTATAGCTCAAGAATCAGACCAATTTTCAACAAATTGTCACCATTTTATCTCGCTTTTAGTAGACATCATTAAATTGTGAAAAAGGTTGCCATTGATGTTCACTTTAAATCCTCTATTAACCTTTTACTTTGTGCACATGAAATCTCTTCCATTATCCATCCAAACCGAGTCACAAATCAATAATATTTAAACGCAATTTCAATCATTTCACTGTCGATTTTCAACTCTAAATGTTATACAACAATAATAGTGCAAGATGTTAACTATCGGTGAAAATAGGTAAAGAAAAACAGAAATGAATTAAAGTAAAGGCCAAGAAAATGCCTCAAGTAGTTTATACCAAAAAATCTTAACTTTTCTCCTTATTTTTCTAGCTTTTTTACATTCTCCTCATCTTCATCATTTCGATAAGTTTGCTTTTTTGTTGAGAATAGAAGGGAAAGTTAACTTTCTCTCAGGCTGTGATTGCTCCTACTTTTTTTCCATTAGCTTAATCTGATTTCTTGGTGAAAGTGGAACTTTGAAACTTGAATCATTCCTATTGACTTTTTCACCTTCATCTCTTGTCCACTGACCACACTGGTAGCAACATATTACCATCCAGTAACAGATGAACAGTTTGAACAAAAAAAGAAGGTGTCCTGTAAACTCGCCACATTTAAGCTTCTAAACAAACAGAGAGTCAAACCCTTTTACAACTTTAAAGAAATCTCGCCACTAATTGTTACAGCTATGGCAAGTAAATTATCAATTTTGATTAAGAAATTCGTGTACAAAGATCAAGCTCAAGCTGAATTTATTCAATTTCATATCATTTTGGTAGCTTTTGTATCGAGAATCGTTATTTAATTGAATACATTGTAGCTTTTTTGTTCAATTATGGAAGCAGATTTTTCATCAAACTCAATTAAATGGTGTAGATTTCGATGAAAAATCAGAAAACGTACAGCCGATCACTTCGATTTTCAGTTAGATCGACTGCTTTCTGTGGCCTTAAAAGTTAGAGCTTAAACTTATCATTCGTCGATAAAAATTGTTGGTACACACCAATGTTTTAACACCTTTTTCAGTTTATCGACAGTTCTATTGATTTTGACCATTCATTAGATGTTATTATCGATTATAAAATTAATATGATATATTTTTTGTAGGATCTTGTATGATCTAAAAATTTAAGAATGATTTTTGAAAATTATCAACAATTTTTGAGCAAAATTTGACCAACACCTTGTACACGAATTTCTTAATCAAAATTGATAATTTACTTGCCCATAGCTGTAACAATTAGTGGCGAGATTTCTTTAAAGTTGTAAAAGGGTTTGACTCTCTGTTTGTTTTAAAGCTTAAATGTGGCGAGTTTACAGGGAACCAAAAAAGAAGCATCAATTGAAATTGTTGTGTCACAAATGGCTTCTGTTTGCGCATTGAATTACAAGTTAAAGGATGAAACTATTATTACAAACTAGCGCTCAACTAATATTATTATCATTTTGTAGCCTAAAGGTTTGAAAGGTAAAACTAAGCACAAAATAAAATATAATACTGATGCTAACAATGTTCAAGTTTACTTAAGTTAACTTGACTATTATCAATTTACTCTGTAAATAACAAAGCAACACAAATACTAATCAATCAACTAATTGGTAAACTTTCATTATTTCAATGTGACAACATTAATCCAATCTTGAAATAAATAAATTGACAATATCATGAAGAATCTTGAAACCAAAATTACGATTCTCGCCATTTTGATAATCAATTTATCAATAAAATGCTTAAAACAAACTGTGATAGACTCTGTGTATAAGTGTAAGCACAAGCCAATCTTGAAAACTAAATAATCTTTCTGATTTTCATTTGTCTTCTGTAAATCATGAATGAAACTGAACAATTATCCAAATCTTACTGTCAAAACCAATTGTTTGAAATGAAAAAACCAAACTCTGAAATGGAGAGTCAAATGAAGGAAATGGAGATTTTAACTAATCTTCTTAAAGATTTACTTTGGTCAAAAGGGTGAAATGGTCGGTCAAAATGAGAAAATGAATGTTCAAATGAGTGAAATGGAAAGAGTAAAGAAGAGATAGTTCTCCATAGGATTCAATGAGAAGTCTAGTTAGCGGTCCTCAACTAAAGGCGCTCAAATTAGTCACTTTTTCGATTTCTTTCAATTTAATTTTAATCTAATTTTTTTATCTAATCTCTTAAAAATACTCCTGAATTACCTTAAAGCGCCCTTGTCAGAGCCACTTTCATAAAGTTTTATTGAGAGAAACCTCTTCTCCTTTACTCTTTGGTGCAATGTGCAATACAGGCATTCTGTTCAGACATTAAAAAATAAAAATGACTAAAAAACCGCTAACTAGACTTCTCATTGAATCCTATGGAGAACTATCTCTTCTTTACTCTTTCCATTTCACTCATTTGAACATTCATTTTCTCATTTTGACCGACCATTTCACCCTTTTGACCAAAGTAAATCTTTAAGAAGATTAGTTAAAACTCCATTTCCTTCATTTGACTCTCCATTTCAGAGTTTGGTTTTTCCATTTCAAACAATTGGTTTTGACAGTATTAGCTTTACTCATCAAGCTTCATCAATCGATGATCGCTTAATGAGTAACAATAGTAATATGAATTAGGCCAACGTCTATTAAACTAAACTAGTCGAGCCTTGAAGCAAAAGGTTGAAATAATTTTGACTTAACCCAAGAACCAATGTTGGGTTTATTAACCAACTTGATCATAACTACCAATGTAAACCAATATTTGAACGCTTTTCTTGATGCCATATTAATTCAAGATCAATGTGAAAAGTAAACTTTAATCAAAATCAAGACTCAAAACGATTTAAAATCTGTTTTTTTGGAAGCTTCAATTGATCAGTTGACAAATTTTTAATTCAAGTTACAATTGAAGAGGTAAAGAGGTAATAAAGGCGAAACTGGAATGAGGAAAAAAGCAAAAAAAAAGTTCAATATAATGATAGATTTGAAGAAGCTGATATCCAATCAATGAAAGTTGAGATGAAATTTGGATGTAACTCGGTGAATACGCCCTGAATGTTTATTTTGTATTCTGCTTTTGGCATCTTAAACAGCATCTTCCTTTCATCATCATCATCTTTTCCCTTTGCACAACTCACTAACTTAAGAGGTGTGTTTTGATCGTCAGGTAATACCAGTTGGAAGGATGACGAGAAAATGACTGCAACATCTTGAAAAGATGAAGGTACAATGATGATTTAGGAAGAGCCAGAGTGTGCTTAATGATACGCTTTTATTATATAATCAAGGCAACCTCCAAGTTGCATGTTGCCGTCCTTAAGCCCACCAAGTCAACCTCTTATCCAGTCTAATGTCTCCTTCATTAATGTAATTAATTTTTCTGGCGATATTATCTTCTTCTTCTTCATCATCATCTTTTTACCCCAACATTACATGATATTATGAATAAACTAATCATAATAATGATTCTATTCATATCTTTTCATTTTCAATCACAAACCTTCTTACCTTAAATCAAGTTACTCTTCAGTATCATTAATTTTCCAGTTCAATTGTCCAATGTTTCCTATTTACCTCTAATATCGATTTTCACATTTCACCAAACCCTTCATTTTCACTTGATTTACATTCATTAATTCAAGACTCAATGAAATGAGCAAATCTTTAAATCTCAACCAGAAAACACAACAATATCAATTAACATCATAATAATGACAACTTTGAATCCTTTTTTATGTTTCAATCTTCTTCTTTTTTCACATTAGTTGTAATTATTGCAACAATTAATGATCGTCATTTTTTATGGTGAAAAGTTGATCTTCAGTTGATTATAATTTGATCATTAAGAAGTGATGATAAAACAAAATGTAATGACAGTAGTTAATCAAGAGAAGCAACTTTATCAATATTAATGATTCTCTCATCAGGGTTAATATTAGCATTTTGTAAAGGGTGTTAAGGTTTATTTCTTGCAAAATAGGAAAAGGTAAAAGCGATCTTATCTGAAGATAAAGATGAAAATGGTGATAACATGGCGATAAATATGAATCGGCCACTTGCATTTGCTTGGGTATTTTGCTTAACCTTTTACCTTTGTGATTTCATCTTTATCTTCAGATAACATCGTTTTTCTTTCCCCTGTTTTGCAAGAAATAAACCTTAACACCCTTTATATGCATTTGCAAACCGATGGTAATAAGTTTAATAGTTAATAATAATGTTTGTGTGGTCTCAACAATTTGTTAATCTTTCTGTTTAAACAATGTTAAAGAGGAACAGCTAATTGCCCTTAAAACGTAAATTAATCTTTATCGGTCAAAACATCATTGACAATCTAATTACCGTTTGTTTCATTCAATCATCATATCGAGTTTCACTGAGAACGCATCATGAATCGTTGATTGTAGTCATTATTGTCAATTCAAATCATGTAATCTGATGCAAACCAAATGGTCTGTTGAAATGGAAACAAGAACAAAAAAATGATTTTCCAAACTCAACCCAGACATGATAATGTCTTGCATTGACTAAGTGAGATGTTAGATGTTACTTGAGTCAGTTTTTTCCTGTTTTAGTTTTCATCTTTCAACCCAAAAGCATCAATTTCATCCTCTCAACAGTTATTACAATGTGTTATTATTATTGGTTTTTGCTTTAGTGAAACAGGTTGGCTAAATGTCTAAAGGAACCAGCAAAAAGAGATGAAAGTTGAAAATAAAACTTGACTACATAAGCAATTGGCTTTTTGTTACAAGTTTTAAGATGTTTGTTGTTGAACAGTTTTTTGGTTATTATTGATTATGCTGCTTAACCCAATGTTTACCTTGGTTCAAACGGACAAAACTATTGAGATGAAAAAAACCATTAACTTGACCTTACCATTAACCTTTAACTTTGTATTCTAATAATTGCGGTTGAATTTTATGTTGGCCAGATCAATTATATTGCCTTTGCAAGAGTCACTTTACATTTTTAAAAGTTTATCATCCCGTTGGCCTTAGATAAGTGTCTCTCTCAAGTTGCCCAGGTAAAATGAAATGTTTACCTAGGATAAGATTAGTTGAAATTACCTATCATTATGATTGCAACTTTTCTTCAGTTCAATTAGTTAGTGACAATAATATAAATAATCCAATTTGTATCCAAATTCAAGAACAAAATGTTTATTTTTCTTCACTTATTCAACTTTTACATTTGTTTCAAGCAAAAATGAATGTTTTTAAAATCAAATCAACATTAATCGTCCAGATTATCTCCCGTACTAATGCAATTATTTCAAATAAAATTTTATGTCTCATGAAATGGGAAATGATTTGACCTTTCACAATAGTTCTGAGTGTGCTGAGGAATGATTAGCATTTCTGATGGAATCTTCATCGATGCTCTTTGAAAAAAGGAACTCAGCGTTTTCGAATGTTCATTTCCATAGGAAAACATTGAAAAATTGTTCGTCCGGTTTTTTTTCTGGAATGAGATAAGTTTCTCTAGACATTTCTCAGCATAAAGATCTAATTTCACTTCAAGATAACCAGCTAAATCAGTTGAACTTTCACCTGCTAGTCAACTCGAAGCAAAAGGTTGAACCTTCAACTGAAAAAGTCATGTTTAGTCCTCAAAGTTATCATCATTGTAAATCAATGTAACTTTAACAATCTCACGTCACAACAATAATGCAAAGTAACCCTGTGATGAAAGGTAACAAGTTGCTGATGAAAAAAGCTGTGAAGATGAAAAGGTCGATTATTTTATGTACAATTTGTAGCAAATTGGAGTTAAAGTTGAAACTTAAAGAGTAAAAAATGGAAAAAACTTTTGTTTTTGATTTATGAAAATGTAAATGCCAATTGCAATGAAAAATCTCATCTCTCCAACCCTCAAGCATTGTCATTGAACTATTCATTCCCTTTAGAGTTGCATTATCCAACAACTGAGAAGCTTCAACTTTTCAAGAGTACTTTTGCTTTTGTTTTACCCAATGTTTCAAATGTTATTATTACATCAGGTACACTTGGAAATTATTTCATCATTAGAAGAGAAGCAAAAGGTGATTCGATAAAAAATGAATGATAAAAGGTGAATAAGATGAACATTTAAAGTGATTGAGAATTCAAATTGAGCCAAATTGTTCTTGAAACTTTTTCTAAATCATTTTGCTTTTCCTTTTCTTTTAATTTGTCAATGAAAATAATCACAGTCAGAAGTAAAAGCCTGAAATTAGAATCTTTTGTTTTTTCTTTCCATTCTCATGCTATTATTATTGTTATCATGAATGTTATTACCATCATCATTATTCATTCCGAGATAATTTGCAACAACTTTCATTTCTATTCTGTAATTCGCAATGTTTCTATTCATTATTCATGTTAATATAAACATTATTTGCATCTTCAAAAATCTCAAATGACCTGAAAAATATTTCCACAAATTTTTCTGAATTTCTTTTCTCCATTACAAAAGTTCATGAGCAGTTATTTTCCCTCAGACTCGAGTCACAACAGCTTATCACCAAGAATACTTTTCTCAATCAAACTCAACTTCACTTTGAGTTTTGAGCGAAATTTCGATGGAAATCGACTTAAACTTTTCGAAGGCAACTTTTCTCCGAACCTGAAAAGAGATCTTTTTGCCTTCGAAATTGATTAATTTTTGTTAAATCAATTTCAATATGAGACTATATTTTGATTTCATTTTCTGTTTCAATGTC